AGTAGGGTTGGGTATCGTTTGAATTTGAACGATTCTGATTCCGATTCCGATTCCTTTTTTCGATTCCGGTTCCTAACGATTCTCGATTCCGATTCTTTTAAGAGGCAGGGTCAAAAAAGTTTAGCTAACCTTGCTAACCAACGGCCTTTCTGAAGGAAATATTCCTTTTGTCACAAATTTTGCATTTTGCCGAGATTTCATTATTGTTAGAAAAGTGAAGTCACACTTTGGATCGCGACGTAAGCTACTCATGTTCGACTCGCGCGGTTATACCAACACTTCCGGTAGACGCTTCTTCGTTGGTGTTGTTCAGCAGTTTCTTCTTCCGCTCGGCGGACTGTGAATATCGAAACTAGGAATCGAAATTGTAACTTTTGAACGATTCCGGGAAAAACGAAAAGTTAATCTCGGTTCCAATCGATACTCGACTCTCGATACCCAACCCTAGTCGACAGCATTGTAGTCAATCATTTCATCCCTTAAAACTCATCTTTGATTGATTTCCTTAAATGTAACTCGACACCCTTGGCTCATTTAGTATGCAAATGAGCCCCGCCTCCACTCCACTGGTTGAGGATCACACGTTGATCTGATTGGTTACAAGGTCACCAGCGATTTCAATCCTGTCTTTGGTTCACTGCAGTTTTAAAGCTACAATGTGCATCTCTTTTAGTTTATTCTTAGCTAAAAACACTTGCCATTGAAAATACATACGGGTAAGGGGTTCGCCATGTTGCCCCTCCATCTTGAAAGTACATTAGCCAAAGAGGGACATACCCGTTAATTCAAGATTCGCCTTTCGGGTTTACGTTTGAGTTAACACTCATGGACGAGGTCGAACTGGAAGCCATGTTAATCTTGGACTACATTGGCCACCGTAGGAGTTAAAACGAAATCGGAATTGAGAGGAACAGAAACTAATATTCACTGGATGGTCATATACCTTTTCACCACTAGTTGGGGGTAAAAATCACACAGTGTAGCTTTAAGGAGGAAATACTTATGAATTTACACATGGTTTGTCTTAAAGCACATTAAAACACCATATAGACATAAACAACATGTTTTTCCTCACGTTAAAAACAGAAAATTTGTGTTCAGTAATGCTTACAGTGGAAGCTATGGCAGCCAATGCTCCTGAACCAAAAAGCATAAAATTAGCCATCATGATGTTTTAAAAACATAACCGTAACACTTAAAAAAAAAATATGATTTTCTTTTTTAAATATCAATTTTGACCCGAAGTTCCCGAGCGTGACTGTTAAACGAAGAACCCCAGAGGGTTGATAAATAAATTCTACTTTGAAACCTAGACATCCAAAATAGAAATGTGCATTGTCTGATCTTCATTGCAAACTTGATGAACAGAACAATCCAACATTATTTTCTGTAGCGATGGAAAGCATATGGCTTCAATATAGCTTAAGTTATATTTTAATCCACCATATTACTGTAATGGCTGATGTTCAGATTGCATCTTATCTCAGCGATACGACTGAAGCGTTTGCCCTTATTCTGTAGATGGATATGAATTTGACATGCCTTTTCAATTAGTCAGGTATTGAAACTGTCAGGCGGGGGAAGGGAGAACTGGCCAGTGCGGTTCAGCAGCATTAAATCCTAATTAGCCATGGAAGGATAAAAGAGAAACGTTTTTGAGTTCGTTCTTTGATCAAGATTAGATTCTGAACATTAGCCATATATATCCGCACCATTGTGTGTGTGTGTGTGTGTGTAGGCTTCTTTTTGTTAAGGCCAGTGGCTTGAATTTGAGATTAGTTCCTTTATATCAAACAAATTCCCTCTTCTGTTGCTGTTTAATTCGAGATTTATATAGAGGATTTATGAAGGTTGTCGAACAAATAAAAAGACAGAGGCAGTGCATTCAAGAAAGCTTTTAAGGAATTGTGCCGTTCGTGTTTTGTTCGGTAGTCCTCCACCGGCCCATCATGCAATCTGTCATCCTATCTTCCATTAAAATTCTTTTAAAAACATGTTTTTGTGAGACAAAATTGAAGCTATTTACTTAATAAATGTTCCAGGTCTTATTGTGCAGTATTTATCAGTGCATATTTTACATAAGAAAACAAGAAAAGACATTGTGCATACATTTTTAATATCAAATGTAATAAACGATTAATCGCGATTAATCGCATCCAAAACAAAAGTTCGTGTTTACATAATATATGTGGCTGCATTGTGTATAATTATTTTATATATATATATAAATATACTCACATGCTTGTGTATATTTAAGAAATATTTTCATGTATATAGATTTATATATAATTTATATTATGTATAAATATAAATATTTTATATATAAATAATTTTTTTTTCTTAAATATACATGCATGTGTTTGTGTGTGTGTGTGTATATATATATATATATATATACAAAATAATTATACACAGTGCACCCACATATATTATGTAAACACAAACTTTTATTTTGGATGCGATTAATCGCGATTAATCGTTTGACAGCCCTAGTAATAACTTTTGTCTGAAACAACTTTCTGTATGGTGAGCGATATGACAAATTTCACAATATCGAGTAGTTTTATTTCCCGATAATGATATATATATATGACAACAGTGCTTTTTATTTTTGGTTTTAAAAATAAGAACGAATAACCAAAGAAACAACAGGACAAAACAGAGATATAAATGAAATAATGCCATACGTTTTTAGTGTAGAAAAAACAAAACACTGCATGATTTACATATAGACAGATTCTTAGCAAAGCTACACAAGTTATTCAGTCAAGGGCAGTGATTGATTTGACTGAGAGAAGAACAACAGACGGACGGTGCGTTGTGGTGCATTTAAAGTTTTTGGAAAATATCATTTTCCCATCTGGTGGTTGTTTTTGTCGTTCTACAGCAATTTATACTAGTGAAATACGTTATTGTTAGAAGTTAAATAAAATAAAATATAATAAATCTTATATATGAAAAAATAAGTCATTTAAAGTTTTTTTTCTCCTTTTTTTGTGATAATTAGGTTGTCTTTGTCCGTCAACAAACATGTTTCAGGACATTTTTTGAGAGGATAAAATGTTTTTGTTGAGAAAGTTTGTCTATGTTAAGTAATTATCATTTCTTTTACGTTTTATCTTTCAAATAGAAATATCGGCCAAAATAAATCGGCTGCATTAATTGGCCATCGGCCGACCCGGATTTCAAAAGATCGGCGTGAAAAAAACCATATCGGTCGACCTCTACTATAGCGCGCCCTACTTCTGTACCGTATACACGAATTGCACACGGATTATGTGTGAAACCTGTGGTAAAATGATGGGAACAGACTTTTCTGAGGGGAGTTGAATGAAAGTTTAGCCTATTTATCCTAGCTAGCTAGTCTCAACCCTGTCTCCTTCCCTTCACGTTTTCTGACAGTCGGTAACTTATCGCATAGAAACTAACTCTGAGGTTATTGCTGTTGTTAGAACAGCCATGTATTACACAACACCCTCACGCTGTTAAAAAAACCCCAAAAAACAGTGATAATACCATGCATAATCCCGACGCTACATCGCTTGTCAATCGACAGACTGAAAGTTTCCGTGCTTTCTACAGTATGTCAACAATATGGCCGCCGCAAACATTGATGACGCAGATCGAATAAGGTCTATACCAAGTATTATGTTTCCGTAATGGTTTTGCTTAAGACCCAGATTTTAGACACGTATTTTTGAACACCCATATGGAGTCCCAAGTAGCCTAAAATATCACAATTGTTTTATATATTAGATTTTGTTCATGGGTTTTTGATTATGATATGGCGTATAGAGAAGAATTTGGAAGTTTTATTGGACTCATATCCTTTGAAATGAACTACAAAAGATATATTTGTCCTTTCATTTGTCTAGAATGCAAAACTGGTTATTAAAAATGGGACAAATTAGAGCCCGACCGATAAAGGATTTTGAAGGCCGATACCGATACAACTATTTTTGGGATTTAAAATCCGATATTCCGATATATCGGCCGATATTTAGTTTTTTTATTAATTAAATATTGTTGGATTTCACACACGTGTAAAAGAAAAGCTAACTTTTCTGCACAAGATACGTTTGATACTTTTTCTCTATGTCTAAATGTTCACTCCTCGCAAGTCTAACTTACATTTTACAATGCAGGGACTGTAACTAGAGATTTGCTAGTTATAAATACAGTAATCATTACTTTATTTAGTGGTTTCCAAGCTCATTAATGTTAACGTTAGCGGTCTTCCACTGATGATAGTGGCGTTAGCTAGTCTATGATGAGCCATAATTTAGCAATAGATGACGTCATACTGCAAATTGTAAAACATACATTTTCAATATAACAGGCCAAGGAGAGATGACTGAAGCGTGTTTCGTCCGTTTTTATTTTATTTTTTAAATATTCATGACTGCCGATACCGATATTTTGGAAAATGCCTAATATCGGCCGATATATCGGTCTGGCTCTAGTACAAATATTTAATGTAAAGGTTTGCTCTCTAAATTTGAGCAAGTCGACCTTATATACTTTAATGCTATTTGTCAACCTTTCATCTGCTGATCTTGATCTTTCAATCAGATATGTGACCGTATCACCACACGAGTGTAAGCAAATCTCGCAGTGTCTGAATATATCCACATCTCCTGCGAGACGACTCGAGTATGCAGAGGGACCTCATATCTGCAGCGCTCTTAAAAGCCCTGATTGTGTCAAGCTCTCTTTGCCGCTTTAGTGTGGGGGTGGGAAATGGTGTTGTGTGCTTCTTGAATGCCGTGATACAATCATACGACTCTCTGATGGTCGAGAGGAAATAAGATGACCTGTGCCTTCCCTTGACAGATTAGATAGATGTCACCTTTCTTATGAAAGTGCCAGTCAATTTCGCCTCTCCTGTGTGCTGCCTATCAATTACGGGGAAGAGAAGCCTTTCAAAGCAGCCCTGCTTTCTCTGCGCGGTAACCAAGTGGCTAAACACAGCTCATTGTTTCCTCTCTCTCTCTTTTCAGTATCCCAAGATCAGCGAGGAGTCGACTTCTCCATTTGTCTTCATTTGCTCCAACCCCCAGGAGTTGGTGGTGAAATTTCCCATGAAAGGGAAACACAAGATTTGTAAGTCCTGCCTGCTTCTTTTCATGTGCCGGACCCTTTCTACACTCTCACATTTAAACACATGCATGTCTAATGAGTAGGCCACTACACACACGAAGATTGGCAAATTCATTATTCGGTAACACTTTACTTGAAGGGGTGTTCTTTAGACTGACATGACATCTTCATAATCATGACATCACACATGTCTTGAAGATTTATGCATGTTTATGACAACTGTCATTAAGTGTTTTTCGGTCAATAACGACATTTTGAATGCAAATATGACATTGTTTAAGATGTCTTCGTCAGTGGTGGAATGTAACGAAGTACAAATACTTTGGTACTTAAGTACATTTTTCACGAATCTTTACTTTACTTAAGTAGAATAAATAGTGCATACTTTTTACTTTTACTTCGTTACATTTTGCAGCAATTATTATACTTTCTACTCCACCACATTTCTAAAACTTCTGTTACTTTTTCATTACATTTTCTGATCAGTTTTTCCCCTGTCAAAACGTAATCTGACCGTCCGTTCGTTGCACGTTTGTCTCACCAGTGACGTTTGGTTGCCATAGATACATCAACTAAACGCGTCTCGCACGCAGTGTGTTTATCGTGCAATTTATATGCGAAAATTTGTTTTTACGTGCATAGGAAACACAACGTGTGTAATTTACGTTTGGTTAGGATTATGGCAAGCCAAGAGGTTCAGAATTACACCATAAATTAATCGCGTTTACTGCCAAACATAGTTATTAACATATAGTAAGGATAAGCATGGTTTATATTGCCTAATTGCAAGCTTGTTTCAGAAATGGTGACAACAGTTTTTTTCCATCATTATTGAACATCATTATAGGAGTATTAGTTAGAATTAAATGTTTTATTAATCATTAGAAAATAGTCATTAAGATAATCAATTGTTATGCAAGTACTTTTACTTTTAATACTTAAAGTACATTTAAAATCAGGAACTTTTTACTTAAGTATGGTTGTCATTGTGTTACTTCTACTTTTACTAAAGTAAATATGTATCTGGTATTTGTACTTTTACTTGAGTACTGAGATTCAGTACTTCCTCCACCACTCTTCGTCATGACAACTTGACATAAAATTAAGTGGTTGGCTTTGACATTGGCTGTCATGAGGCCATTATAACTGTGTCAACTACAGTGGTACTAATTGGACTTGTCATTAACGAGTTATAATGGCTTCATGACAGCCAATGTCAAAACCAACCACCTGACAGTTTAATGTAATATTAACCAATAAAGCTTCTTAAGTTTGATCTGCTATGTCATGTTTATGACAGGTTGTGTTGTCTTCGTAATGTCAAGTTGTCATGACAAAGACACTGACAGGTTATGATGTATTGGTTTATGTCAAGGTGTCACAACAAAGACATCTCAAACAATGTCATATTTGCATTAAAAATGGCATAACTGAGCAAATGACACTTAATGACCGTTGTCGTCATATAGGAGTAGTATATAAGATAAGATACCCAATAAGATACTTTTTAACCAAATATTAAAACTTTGCATTCTGTACTGTGAAGAAGTCTTGTAGATGGTTCACAAAAACATGTTTATTTATATCCAATTATCTTTAGTATACAATATTTGCCAAAGTAATGAAAGCACAAATGTTGATAAACATCTTAAAGCAAATGTTTTTGAGAAGCATCTTATGCACTGTACAGTATATCCTTGGAAGATTGCACGAAACTTGGTTCAAAAATAAAATAATAATAATAATAGTAACGTCTTTGTTAGATGAAGCAAAGGCAGTGTTGATTTGTAAATAGAGCCAGACCGATATATCGGCCGGCCGATATTAGGGATTTTTTTCAAAATATCGGTATCGGCAGTTATAATGGCCGATAAATTAAAATTTCAAAAATAAAATAAAAATGGACGAAATACGCTTCAATCATCTTTCCTTTTCATGTTATATTGAAAATGTGATATGTATGTTTTACAATTTGCAGTATGATGTTATCTATTGCTAAATTATGGCTCATCATAGACTAGCTAATCCCACTATCATCAGTGGAAGACCGCTAACGTTAACATTAATGAGTTTGGAAACCACAATGAACTAATGATTACTGTATTTATAACTAGCATATCTCTAGTTACAGTCCCTGCATTGTAAAATGTAAGTTAGACTTGCGAGGAGTGAACATTTAGACAGAGAAAAAGTATCAAACGTAACTGATGATTGAAAATGGTTTGTAGCTTGATGGAAAGAATTTAAAAAGTGCAGGTAAAGGGATACGCAAGCTGACATTGTAATTATAAGGTATCTTATAAGGCAATGTAGGGACTAATTATTATTTTATTTATCAGAACTTTAATATATTTTGATGGTCCTCTTCTGTTGTGACAATAAAAGAAACAAGTTTATTTTTAAAATGCTTTATCGTACTATTTTAGTTAAAACTCATAAATAACTACAAATAACTATGTTAGGGAAATCTGTTAATGTTTTGTTGCGCGTTTCTGAAAAAAATTAAAATAAATAAAATATCGGCCGATATATCGGAATATCGGATTTTAAAACCCAAAAATATTTGTATCGGTATCGGTCTTCAAAATTCTTTATCGGTCGGGCTCTATTTATAAATAATCTTGTAATATGTTTTGTGATTTGAGTATCATCTAATTAACTTGCTAATGCCAAAGTTCGATATCATTTTTCAGTGTCCAGTGAGGAAAGCTACAGTATTTCAGCCCATTTCACAGAGTAGACATTGAGGTAGTTTTACAACAGATCTTATACTTTAACTGGTGTTGTGTGATATTCAATATATTACATTTTCGTAATTAATTTTTGCCATCTCTTTTCATGCAATATGTTGTATGGTGAAATTTTCCTTGAAAACACAAGCTGCTGCTTTTTCTGTGTTGGACTGGTATATCTTATCAATGAATGCTTATTGTCGTCTTTACCATCATCTAGCTGATCAAGGTGTTAGTTAGATCATTTGATTTTCACATCATGGATGTCCAAATAATCACATATTTAGGTATTTCCAATAGTAATAGTAGCATATTTGATTTGCATGACTTTAAAAACCATAAAATATCCATTGGAAAACCCATGGTAATATTGTGGAGATTGTACCGGAGTGTATGTCAGTGGCTTACCATTTGATAGTCAATTTGTAGCGGCTATGGAGATCAAAGAAGGTGATTAATGTAAAAATATTCAAGCAAAGTGAAACAAACAATTGTCGTTTTGAACAAAAGACAAATGCACTCCAGCTGTTCCTTTCCCCTTGCGTTTCCTGTGTTTTCCACAGCTCAGGATAGTCACTAATGAAGGGTTTGGGTCTTTGCATGTTATTCAGCCAGAGTGATAGGTCACATGGTATTTACGGCTTTGTTGATTGGCCAAAAGCACCTCTTGGCAGTGTACTTCTGGGAGGTCCTGCACCAGCTGAGAAGCTGCCATTGAGATGAATGGGATTGCTAACTGATGAATGTTAGCTTTTTTTCTGGGAATGATAGAAGCTCTTGTTCCAGCAACATGACCCACGTTTTGTCACTAGACATCATGAAAAAACCTATATTGTGACCCTGGACCACAAAACCAGTCACGGGTATATTTGTGGCAATAGCCAACAATACAGTGTAAGAATCAAAATGATTGTTTGTTTTTTTTTAATTTTATGCAAAAAATTATTAGGATATTAAGGCCGTGTGTCCACCAAAGCGTTTTTAGCCAGCTGAAGACGCCGTGCTTTGAGAGCGTTTTGGCAGCGCAGCGTTTTTTTCCGTTGAGACGTTTCGTTGCTATGATACAGATGGGACCTTATTTCGGAAAAATATTGAATGGTAGTCAATGGCGAGAGACAACAAATATTTTGACCCCTTTTGAATTGTGCGCTGAATTACACATATGATGTTTGTCAATTTAAAAGATACATTTTAAAGTAAAGAAAGTCGCAGTTTGATGTAAAACCGTTATATACGACTGTGTATAACGGTATAAGACTGCGAAAATACGTAATTTCAAAGACTACAAACCCCAAAGGCGCACATTTTCTCTCAATGAATGACGCTAACTTTACTGAGGCTAATGTCTGTCATTGTTTCTATAGTCTTAAGTTATAATCGTAACGTTACGCCGTCATACCTGAGTGTTTTGTACCAGACTCCACACACACGAGCAGCGGATCTCACTTGTTGTTTCGCTTCCCGCCGAAGATGTAGTTCATAGAGCGATTTTCACTTTCTATTGGACGGCTGGGTAAAAAGTGACATTGAGAAGTGCGTTTTATCCAAAGTTGTACATTTTTCAACTCGCAGCGACCAGTAAAAACGTTGGGCGTTTGGCGCTTCAGCGTGAAAAAACGCTCATGGCGTTTAAAAAACGTGGCGCTCCCATTGAAAACAATTGAAAACATACGCCAGGCGCGTGGAAAAACACTTTGGTGGACACACGGCCTACGTAAAGATCATGTTCCATGAAGATATTTTGTAAATGTCCTACCGTAAATATATAAAAAATTTATTTTTGCAACATCGAGGACTTCATTTGGACAACTTTAAAGTTGATTTTCTCAATATTTAGATTTTTTTTTGCCAAATATCGTCCTATCCTAACAAAACCATGCATCAATGGAACCATGCCTCAGCTTTCATATGATATAGATTAGAGCCCGACCGATAAAGGATTTTGAAGGCCGATACCGATACAAATATTTTTGGGTTTTAAAATCCGATATTTTATCTTTTATTAAATATTGTTGGATTTCACACACGTGTAAAAGAAAAGCTAACTTTTCTGCGCAAGATACGTTTGATACTTTTTCTCAATGTCTAAATGTTCACTCCTCGCAAGTCTAACTTACATTTTACAATGCAGGGACTGTAACTAGAGATTTGCTAGTTATAAATACAGTAATCATTACTTTATTTAGTGGTTTCCAAGCTCATTAATGTTAACGTTAACGGTCTTCCACTGATGATAGTGGCGTTAGCTAGTCTATAATGAGCCATAATTTA